AGTATATAGTACTAGATTCTTTAAGTTAAACTCTATTAGAAGAGTTATTATAATATTTTAGAAAGTTACTACTATATTATCTAAGTTACTATTATATATCTATACTCTAAGCTATAAAATATTAAAAGTTATATAAGTATTAGTAATACTAACTCTATAAAAAACTAAGCTTATTAGTAGTACTAAGTAACTATTACTTAGGCTAGGTATTAAAAAGTTAGAAGTATCTATCTAAGTAGTAGATATATAAAGAAAAGTAGAGTTTAATATCTTTAAAGTAATATTAGTATTAGTATTAAGCTTAGAAGTTATACTTAGATATTTAGCTAGATATTTAAATTTCTTAAAGATATAAAAAGTTCTTTAAGATAGAAAGTTATAGAATAAAAAAAAAAGAATAAAAAAAGTATTCTTTATATATAAAGCTTTATATAACTCTCTTTAGGCTACTATTCTCTATACTATAGTTTACCTACGTAAATATTAATTATTTATATTTTATAGTAGTATAGTACTATAATTTAATATTACTCTAGACCTAGAGTTTACTTACGCAGCGCTTTTATCTACCTAGCTCTATAGCTAAGAGAAAAGCTATATTATACTACGCTCTAACTTCTACTCTACTTTCTACTCTTTTTATTATTACTATTAGTATCTATATATTATCTAGAAAGCTTATTTCTACGTTAAATTCTAAAATTAAGAATATTTTAATAATTCTATAGCCTAACAGCTTTATAGCTTACTTATTACTACTTTTAAGTCTACTTCTAAGTTTACTAAAGAAGCTTCTATTACTATTACTTTTTATAAGTATATTATTATTATTATTAAAGTACTATATCTATAGTAAATATTAGAAAAAGAGTTTTATTAAATTCTATAGTTATATATAGTAAGTATAAAGTGTTTAGAAAATATACCTATAATAAGATTACTATATAAAGTTACTAACTACGTTTTATTACTCTACTCTATATTAATACTTTACTATAATAGTAAATATCTTTAGATTTTTAAAGTATAAAGCTTCTAAATTTAACTAAAACTTACTTTTTATAATTAAAGTATAGTAGATAATATCTACTTTAAGAGCTAAGTAGTTATCTATAAGTATTTTATACTTTAATTCTTTAAAATAAGCTATATCTTAATAAGTATACTCTAATTATTTCTACTTATATAACTTCTTAAGTTTATAAATTAAGATAGCTTATTTATTTTTATTTTTAGTAGTAGTAGTTTATAAAAGCCTAGTTAGCTTTAAAATAAGCTCTAATAGCGTATTACTATTTCTAATAATTAAGGCTAAGTTAGTAATATTTAAAGAAGCTTCTAATAAGTTTATAAGTTTCTTAGTAGATAGTATTACTATCTTTAGAGATATAAAAGCTAATTTTTCTTAGTTATTATTTATTACGCGCAAGAATAGTATAGCTTACTTACTACTATATTATATTATACTAAAGAAATTTACTTTAGAGCTTATTATATCTAAATAGTATATATAAAAGTATTATAAAGTAAAGTAATTTAAATATTAAATAATAAAGTTAGTTAAATACTAGATATATAATATTAAACTATAATTAAGTATATTATTCTAAAAAGACTAGAGATAAATTACTACTAAGCTATAATAGTAATTCTAAGGTATTTATGTCTATAGCTAAGTTAGCCTAGGCTTTTATAGGCTAGAGCCTAACACTAACTCTATACTTATCTATATAACTTTCTAGTTTATACTATAACTAGAAATAACTAGAAATATCTAGTAATAATATAATATATAGCTATAGAAATACTACTAATAGAACTTACTATACCTATTCTCTATTAACTATAACTTTATCTTTATTCTATAAGTTTTATTTAAGGTAACTATAGAATACTACTATAATATCTATTTAAGTAATAGTATTAAGTAAGAGAAAATAAGCTATAAATACTTTATTCTTAGTATTCTATTTCTTATTATTTATATCTAGAATTTTAGTAATAGCTTTATATTACTAGTGTATAGCCTAAGCTAGATATAAAGATAGTATAAGCTTTTTATTTAGCTTTACTATATATATAAAATTATAAATATAAATAGTAATAGTAATTAATAGCTTTTTTTTAGTTAGCTTACTAATTAGATAATCTTCTATCTAGTCTATAAAAATAAAATTATACTTACTATTTTAGAATAGCTTATATATTTTATTAGTAAGCTTTTTAAATATAAGAATAGAGAAATAAATAAATAAAAGCTTTACTCTAATTAGATAATCTTTTAAAATAATAGAAGTATTAATAAAACTTTCTATAGAACTTTCTATAAAACTCTCTATAGCTTTAGAATAATATATATAATCTAAGATAGAGCTTTATATTATATTTCTTATTATATAGATAGTATCTTATTTTATAGTTACTAGAATAGCTTTTAAAATAGCTTCTTTAATAAACTCTTTTTTAGTAAAAGTAAAGTAGCTTATACAAGCTTTATAATAGTAATATAGTTATATAAAAAGTAATTAATATAGTAATAATAAAGTAACTTAGTAGAGCTTTTTAGTAAAATAGTAAAGTAATATAACTAGTAAGAGATTAGTTTTATATAAACTTATAATTATCTAGAAGACTTATAAATAGTTTAAAGTACTAGTATAGTATTTAGTATTAGATTTAAGCTACTTTAATATATCTTTAATTTCTAAAAGTAACTTATAAAATAAAAAAAGTATACTTTTACTAAGAGAGATTTTAATATATATATTCTAACTATAAACTTTTAAAATATATTACTTTATTAGTTATAAGCTAATAAGCGTATATAATTATATTATAATCTTTTTAGAGATTAGTATTAAAATTCTCTTATAAAGTACTTTAGTATTAAAATAGCTCTTTAGCTAGCTTAAAAAATTTAAAAGCTTTAACTATTTTAGAAATAGTAGTACTAAAGCTCTAAGCTTTAGCTTATCTACTTTTAAGAGTAAGTAAAACTTTTAGTTATATATTTTTTAGTAAGCTAGTAATAAACTTTACTTTTTTAGAACTAGTTTATAAGCTATAAAATTATTAGTTTACTAATAAATAAGTATATATAAAGATAACTACTTTAGATAAATAGCTTAGTAAACTACTATTACTAAATATCTTCTTCTTTAATATATATAACTAAATAGTGCTTTATACCTAATTTTATAGACTCTATTTAGTAAAAAGATATTAAAAAATGCCTAGCTTTTAATATTATTCTAGAACTACTAGAAGATTTTAAGATTTTAATATATTTAGTATATATTACTATTAGCACTAAGGCTTCTATATAGACTAATAATATATTACTTTTAAAGCTTTACTAAGAAGAGAAACTTTTTAGCTATTAATATAATATAACTTAAGCTAATAAAGATAACTACTCTCTTATAGCTTAGGTCTTAATAGAACTTAAAGTAGTTTATTATAGCTACTATTTAATAAATAGTATCTTTCTATAGAAGATAAGCTATAAACGCTATATTTTTTTTATTCTATATTTTAGAACTTTTATAAAGTATTTTAGCTAAAGCTTTATATTACTAATATATAGCCTTTTTAATAGCTAGAGATAGTAATAGTATTACTATAAGCTTTACTATGTATACTAAGTTATAAAAAAGAATAGTATAAGTAATAAAGTTAGTGCTAGTATATTTTATAAAAGAGTAGTATTACTATTTTATTATAAGTAAGAAATTAATATTACGCCTAATAAAGAGCTTATATATCTTACTAATAAGCTTCTAAAAAGTAAAGCTAAAAAAGAAAATAATAAAAGACTTTACACTAGTTATATATATAATAAAGATAATAGAAATAATAGAAATAAAAATAATAGAAATATTAATAGGTCTAGCGTATAGCTCTAAAGTACTAGTAAAGTAGCGCTATAAAGTACTTATAATAGCCTTTAGTATAGCTAAAATAAAGTAGTTTATAGTAGCTTTTATAATAGCTTTTAAAATAATAACTTTAAGAAAACTTATAAAGTAATAGTAATGTATTTAAGAGAAAAGTAATTAATATAGTAATAATAATAGAGCTTAATTAAGCTTTAGTAAGTAAAGTAATATAACTAGTAATAAGATTAGCTTTAGACTTACTAACGCTAAAAGAACTTATAAAAAAGGTATTAGTAACGTAGTTAAAAGCTTATTTAGCTAGTATAGCTTTAGTATTAGATTTAAGCTACTATTTATATCTTTAATAAGTTTTTAAATCTTTAATTTACTATAAGCTATAAAATAAGAATAAGAATAAGAATAAAGATTTTATAAGCTAAGATTTTAGTATTTTATTACTTTATAATTTATAGCTTAGTTAGTTATAAGCTATTAAGAATATATAATTATATTATAATTCTCTCTACTATAATATAAGTAAATATTAGTATTTATAAAATAGTTACTTTACTACTCTAAATTTTAAAAGCTTTAACTACGCTAGAAGTAGTAGTACTAAGAACCTAAGCCTTAGTCTACTTAACGCCTATACCTTTAAACATAAAATTTTAACTTTTTTAGAAATACGTCTTTTTATATACTAATAATAGACTTTACTCTTTTTAGACTAGCTTCTACTATAGAATTATTAGTTTACTAATAAATATATAACTAAAGTACTCTTATAAAAAGACTTTTTAGGCTTAAGCGCAAAAGACAGAGAAGTTAACCTTAGAATGTAACATTAGGGAAAGACGCGGTGGAACGTGCACGCTTATCTTATCCGACAGCGGTGGTGGAGTACGACTAAGCCACTAGGTACGAATACCGCAACAAACAAACACCTCTGCATCATTCAAGGGCATTGACGGAAATTGCGAAACGGGTGTCATGCAGTGATCCTTTTCCTCAGCCACTACCGGCATCGACTTTTGACAATACTTAGGTAATCTCATTCCTCATCCTACCCTTCACTTTGTCATTGCACAACTGATCTCTTACTTCGTTGACCATCGCTTTACCTCACAACTTGAAGCTGTTCTGCACCAGCTTCTCACTCAAGGCCCATAGTCGATCGGCCAACTTAGGATCAGTCGCGTATGGCATCGCATCACACATTTGACAGTCAGACAGCATGATACCCTTCGATTCTAGTACGTTGTCAGTGTCGAGTTTTGCGGACTGAACCTTCACTTACCGTCCAATGCTGGGTCTAGCGCCGCGACCAGTACCGTCGCAGCACCCTGATCAAGGTTCTTCCAGAACGGACTTACACTACGAATCGCAGCCTCGCCATCCGCGTCCAGGTTTCGACTGAGACCAGTCCAGATTGCTGAACTCATCAGCGATTCTGAAACTACGCACTCAAAAGGCTTGCACGGCGGGGTACTCACATCCGGGATGCACAGCATAACTTCTCACACCCTTTCCTCTGTACTTCTCGTTTAGGCCCACTGAAAATAGCATGTTCGCCGTCTTCGCCTGTCCATAGGCCAGCCACCCGTTGTATCCATCATCTGCGCCCTTCGCAAACTTCGGAGGAAGCTGCACGTGCCTCTCTTCTTCGGGTATCTCGTCGTTGCTCTTCTCCCAGTTGTAATCAGAGAATCGAACGGGGCTCAACCGATGACCAGCAGAAGTGAGGTTGATGACGCGGGTGCTACCTTCATCTGAAGAGGAAGCTGAGGCCAGAAGCTGAGGCATGAGCAGGTTGGTCAAGAGGAAGTGGCCAATATGGTTGGCGCCAAATTGACCTTCGAGGCCTTCTTTGGTAGTCTGACGCGCCGTTGTCATGATACCAGCATTGTTGATGATCAGATCCAAGCGGCTCGTCAATTGCGACGCTTCTTTTGCAGCAGTCTTTACAGATTCTTGAGACATCAAGTCAAGAAGGACTACTTTGACTATGACGTCTGGATAGGCATTCTGGATGCTCTTCACGACCTCTTCTAGTTTGGACTTGGTGCGTGAGGCGAAGATGAGGAGCGCTGGATTTTGGGAGGCAACCGAGAGGGCTATAGACGAGCCGATGCTTTCAGGAGATACACCGGTAATGAGCACTTTTTTAGGTCAACATCAGCTTTCAACAGCGTAAGCACATGGACATCCTACCATTCTTGCCATGAATTTGCTTGGCGAAAGCTTTCGCGACTTCAAGACCGCCCGTCTTCTCATCCCATTCAGAATGAGTTAGAGTCGACATTGTAGCTCTTGATATGCTCGAGGAGCAACAGCCTGAGCCTTAGAATCTTATCAAGGGGAGTGCATAAGTATCGCTCTCGCTATCCCTGGGACCGAGTCCGTTTACCACAGCAACTTCCATCCGGAAGCATCGAGACTGCACGCGAAGTTCCGCCCATGTCCACGGCATCTGTGTCATCTTCGGGACAGAATGCGCTGGGAATGGACAAGTGCAGTTTGGGTGTAAGTTGCGGGGTACAAGGCGGGGAAGGTTAGCACCAATGTGGGGCAGCTATAACCTTTGCTTCGCGTCCCCAATGACCTCGCATCACGCGTCAACATCCTTTAACCGGCAGATACGCCGATCCACCTCGCATTGATACGACTCCACCCCAAGGAGGGGACATGCCGGGAGAGGCGTCCAGCACCTGCAGGCCCTCAGCGCCACGACTCGCGCTTGCACCCTCGGCCATCGGCTCCATCTCGCCTGGTTGAAGTTACTGAGAAGGATGGGTACATGGCCATATCATCGGTAGATGCAGGGTTGCTGAGCCCCACGCTCACGAGCAATTACCTGGTCGATGCGTCTGGATACCTGGGACCTCTTCTCGCATCGAATCGCGTTGTGTTACCTTATTCCGCCCAGTCGTGAAGCTTGATTGAAGTCGCGCATGCCACTCCGTGCGCGAATAGACGAAACCAAACTACCCAAGATGTCCTCTCTAGAGACCAACGACAACGGTCCAGTCACCAATGGCACAAAGCCACAGACTGGTATCAAAGTCATCATTATCGGCGCAGGTACGTCCTTAGCAGTCCGTGCCACAGCCCCATTCTAACACACATCACCAGGTTTCGGTGGCCTCACAGCAGCCATAGAATGCATCCGCCATGGCCACACACCCGTCATCTACGAATCCTTCCCCTCGCTCAAGATCCTCGGCGACATAATAACCTTCGGTCCCAATGCTGGGCGCATCTTCGCACGTTGGAGTGATGGACGCGTCGCGCGCGACATGCGCAAGATTTCGATCGATCTCACCGAATACGGCTTCAACATTCACAAATGGGATACTGGCGAGATTGTCATAAACCAGAAGACGCCGCCACGCGACGAGAAGGCGCCGAACTTCAATGGGCATCGCGGTGAACTACACGAGATTGTGTTCAACTATGCCAAGGAGATTGGCGTGGAGATCAATTTGGGACAACGAGTGGAGAAATACTGGGAGGATGATAAGGAGGCAGGCATCGTGCTAGAAGATGGCACGCGCGTTGCTGGCGACCTCGTGGTTGCGAGTGACGGTGTTCGAAGTAAGGCAAGAACACTGGTGTTGGGATACGAAGACAAGCCAAAGAGCAGTGGATACGCCGTATGGCGAGCTTGGTTCACCAACAAGGACATGGTCGCAGACCCGGAGACAAAGCAGTTCTGCGAGAATGGCGATACCTTTAATGGATGGATCGGTAAGCCTTCTTCCACCCCACCGTTGCGACTAATCGCATGCTAACAACTTCATAGGCCCAGACGTACACTTCCTTTTCAGCACCATCAAAAATGGTACCGACTGCTGCTGGGTGCTCACCCACCGTGACGACCACGACATCGACGAATCATGGTCCTTCCCCGGCTACCTCAAAGACGTCAAGACTGTGTTGGACGGCTGGGATCCAATGTGCTGGAAGATCGTTTCCAAGACACCGGAAGAGAAACTCGTTGATTGGAAACTCGTATACCGAGACCCGTTGCCCAACTGGGTTTCAGGCTATGGCTCCGCGCCAGGTCACGGTCGGATATGCTTGCTAGGCGACGCAGCGCATCCCTTCCTTCCAACAAGTGCGCAAGGCGCGACGCAAGCACTCGAAGATGGTGTCACACTCGCCGTGTTGCTACGAAAAGCTGGAAAGGATAACGTACGAGGCGCGTTACGAGCGTATCAGGATATACGCTACGACCGCGTCAAGGCTGTGCAGAAAACGGGTGAGACGACGAGGGACATGTGGCACAAGACGGATTGGGAGAAGGTGAAGAAGGACCCCACGCTGATTCAGTTCCCGAGAGAGGATTGGGTATTCCAACATGATGCTGAGAAGCATGCGGAGGAACTGGGGGATGAGTCGATCAAGAAGGCTAGTGCTGTTGCTGCGTAGATAAATTGAGCGGAAACCTCACAAGGATACGCCCAACAAGATTTTAAAGTTTATTGAAACTGCTTCATGATATATCTGTGGCAAATGGTATCAGTCTTGCATCATGTCTCCGAAAACGTGCACAGCTCAGAGGTACGTAAGTCACGTTCAGCACTCCGTCAGTTCGGTAATAGCACCGAGACACATCAGCAATGACGGCGAAGCAGAAGTACCGCGTAGTCGAAGGGGTGAGAAAATCGATTTATCCCAAGAGCAAAGCCTAACTGTATGTGCGAGCCAGAGGCGTCAAGCGACGTCTCCTTCCACAAAAAGATACACTCGTCGCAGCAAGTCTTAGCTCAGCCACTCTTCTCAGCACCGACAACCTCGTGATGCACAACTTCATCCTTGTCGCTATCACGGCTCTCGATCTTGTCGTCAGGACCAGCTGCAACACGGCCAGTACAGACGTACTTCCTGAACTTGCGCGCTGGAAGCCTAGCCTCAAACATCTCGTCAATCTCTTCCAAAGTGCGGTTCTTGATCTCGGGCAGGTAGAAGTACACCCATGCTGCTGTGATGAAGCAGGATGGTCCCCAGATCCAGCCTACATATGATGTTAGTATGGGGTTCGAGTATAGAGAAGTAAATATGGATGTCTTACCATATTCAGGACCCCAATTGAGGGAGTCAGGGTTGATGAAGTATGGTGCAGTGAAGGTGGTGAGCCAAGCACCTGCGAAAGCGACGGCCGATGCGATACCAAACGTGTATGAGCGTAGACGCTGCGATGGGATTTCTCCACCAGAGAGCCAGGCGTAAGCCGCGATCATACCGTTGTAACCGATGATGTAAATCACCGAGAGACCGACAATAGCCTTGGACAGGTCAGTAAGAAGCTCGCATATTCCACGAAAGAAAGATAAACTCACCTTTCCAGTGCTAGTCGTGCCAGGATTGACGTGGTAGACAGCCGCGATGATAAGCTGCGTAACACCACAGATAGAAAGACCGGTCATGAGGAAAACGCGGCGGCGACCAATCTTTGAGATAACACTGCTGTTGATCATGACTACGACGACACCGACTGCGGTCAAGATGCAGGAGTTCATGAAGGGGCTACCAACATTCGCCATCTTGCTTAATGTTAGCCTGGCATACTCTAGAGAACGGGAGCGATGCACTGACCTGGAAGAAGTACGTTCCATACGCAATCACGAACATGGCACCCGAAGCAGCCTGAGTCGATACCGCAGCAATAGCCAACAGCGTGCGCCTACGATCAACAGGATCTTTCCAGATGTCCAGGAAGTTCGCGCTCGACTTGACAGCCTTCTCCGCATCGATCGCCGCTTGGATCTCTGCTACTTCCCCGGGTACACTTTCAGGGTGGGGACGCATCCACAAGAGCGCCTTCTCAGCTTGTGCTGGCTTCTCGACTAGAATCAGCCAACGTGGCGATTCGGGAATGAAGAACAGGCCAAGAGACATGAGAACCGGGACGATGAAGATCATTCCAAGTGGGATGATATACGAGTTCCGACCGTTCATATCGTGTGTTGCGTTGTCGATCACAGTGCCGATGAGTGTGCCCACCGAAGTCCAGATCTGGAAAACGGATATCATGAGACCGCGGTATCGAGCTGGGGCAGATTCCTGGTCGTAGGTCAGTGATGTAACGGACGAAGGAATGGGAACACGGACCTGGATATAAAGCTGCGAAAAGGTCATATACCACCCATTTGCAATCCCAATCAAGAGCCGTCCAGAATACAATCCCGCAATGTTGGTCGTAGTCATCATGACAATGTTCGCAACGCAGCAAAGCGCACTGGCCATCCAGAGACATTGGCGCCTCCCCAGCTTCTTCGCGAAGACACCAGCGAACATTGAGCTGATAAAAGCACCCAGTGTCATCAAAGACGAGATGAGTTGCTGACGCTCGGGAGAGATGTTGTAGCCTATAGGCGTCATGGGATCAGGATGGCCAAAGACTTCGAGAAAGCCGCGCATGGCTTGTAGACCGCCGATAGCACCAAAGTCGATGCCGTACTGGAACGGCGACATGGAGACGAGAGTACATGCCGCGAGGCATTTCCAATTGGAAAGCAGACTGCTTGTTAGATCGGGCATTTTGGTGATTTCTCTCTCCAAAGATGGTGATGAAGAATTTCAAGACGACGCGGCGAGGTTTTTGCTCGATGTTGCGAAGTAGGGTTAGCTTCAAGAAGCGATAAACTTTCAACTAGAGAGGCTGGCACCAGCGATCCTTCTGCCTCATAACAGGGCATCCCTTTCATCCAGACTGGCATGCAGATCTTTGTGAATGTGGTCCCACCTGCATTCTTGTCCCAATATATGCCGATAGTGCCTGGAAATGCTTAGCTTGCCCCTACCCCGGAATCCACAGGCAGTCTAAAGTGTGGAGTGCGGAGGTGGCGGTGTACCATGTACAATATCTCAGGTATTAATGCTGGTACTTCCCGTTTCCGCGTGGCGTATGGGACCAATCATCACGATGCCCGGTAGCTATTCAGGAAGAGTGACAAAACGCCCGGCAGTTTCTGCCGTTTTAGTGCTTGTCTTGCTACCCGCCATCTGTTTGGAATAGCACATGGCTAGGCTGTCGCTTCGAAACTCTATCAAGGTCGCCACAATAACCCTAGAAACATGCGACCTCAGAACACCAACATCGAATTTACAATCAGGGAAACCCAGGGATTTCACAGGCTGTACGGTACTACCGTGCGGTCGGAGCGATAACGCCGTGTGACATTGGCCATGATCGTGAAGTACAGTAAAGATCTGCATGTACTAACTTTCACAGCTGTGCATAGCGAGTCAATAAACTTCATGTCCTCCACTTCGGAATCGGGAAGTGGAGAGACTCGT